TAGTTTATAAATGGGTATTTTGTCATATCTTGCCCTGTCCGACGTCTCCCTTCACCCAGTTTTCGGTTGTCCGTCCCCCAGGGAGGAGGTCACACACAGTTCCATGTAATCGGTTCCCTCTTTCCTACCCTTTCTCCCTTTACTTCTTAACTAAGGGTGACTTTCCCCCCAGCCCCTGCTCTGTCTCAGGCCCGTGTCAGGCACGGAGACGACCAAGGCAAGCACCCTCCGTGACAGCCTGTTTTCCTTCCAGCTGTCCATCCACGAGCGAGAAGACAGCCCCCAGAGCCACGTGCTGGTGATGAAGGGGGCCCCGGAGCGCATCCTGGACCGCTGCTCCTCCATCCTAGTGCAGGGCAAGGAGATCCCGCTGGACAAGGAGATGCAAGACGCGTTCCAAAATGCCTACATGGAGCTGGGAGGACTGGGGGAACGTGTGCTGGGTGAGTGCCCAGAAATGGGGACAAGACGGAGGGAGGGATTGCACACCGGGGGTGGGGGCTCCAGGGCATCCTCTAGATACTCATTCTGTCTCTACCTCCTGCCAGGATTCTGTCACCTGAATCTTCCCTCTGGAAAGTTCCCTCGGGGCTTCAAATTCGACACGGATGAGGTCAACTTCCCCACGGAGAAGCTCTGCTTCGTGGGCCTCATGTCTATGATCGACCCTCCCAGGGCTGCGGTGCCAGACGCTGTGGGCAAGTGCCGAAGCGCGGGCATCAAGGTACAGGGGCCGCATCCTCCCTTTTCGCCTCCCCTGCCTCCTGCCCAAGAGGGACCAAGGTCCTTGGTGGCTTCCCTCCCACTGACCAGGATGAGTACTGCCCATGAGCAAGGAGACTGCATTCCTGCCCCCGGGAGTCTGCCCTCATCCCTTGTGCTCAGGGTGGCCCATTTCCCATGTACCCCTCCCCCTCCTGGGCACAGCAAATCTCGTCCATCTGCATTTGAGCCCTTCCCTTCTGTTCCAAGTATGGTCCGGCATGCCTAGATCAGAGACGCAGCTGCCCCGATGCTTACCAACTGCTGCCCAGCCCCTGAGCCATTTGGGATGGGCCTAACAGGCTCTGGCCTCCCCCCACTCGTTCCCCGCAGGGCCCAGTCGACTGGTGTCAGCCCTTATCGCCCTCACACACCTCTCTCAGGTTGTCCTGCCCAAGGGCAAATGCTTCTCTCGGACCATCTCCCCCTCTCCAACCACGTTCCAGACACTGGTCAAGGTGCTAGGGGTTCAACAAACAAACCAATGAGCAAAACTGCCTTCCAGCATGGACTCCCTGGAAGCTGATTTCTCATTTCTAAGATACTGCTACTCACCCTCTCCCTCAACCCACCTGGCCATCCTTTCTGTTGCCGTCCCTTGTGTTTCTGTTTTCAATGCCTCACTTCCGACCAAAGAATCCCAATTCCATCTGTTTACCTGAGGCCAGTAAGAGGGGTGCATAAGACCTAGTGCCCGACCTCCAGAGCTCCGGGTCTCCGGAGAAATGGAGACTTTTACAGGTAAACACAGCACAGTCATAAAGACTACAGCCATTGGACACCTATGATGGTAGGTAGACAGACACTATAATAATAAACACAGTTAATGGGGTTTTTTAAGCTTTTATATGAACCCAGCATTATTCTAAGCCCTTAAATCTATGTAACCTCATCTGATCTTCACAAGAATTCTGTGACATAAGCGCTCACGGTTCTCTTTCACTACATGGGGAACTGAGGCGTAAAGTAACACGCCCAAGGTCACCCAAGGAGTTGGGGCGCTAAGGTGGGCTGCTCTCTCTTGGTCCTCACCCCAGAGCGCTCGGTGCTTGGCTCATGTGCTTGTGCTGCTTCTGAGTCCCTTACCCGCTCTGTCTCTGGGGTCAAACTAACTGGGACTCGGGGCGAGTAGGTGACCTTCCCAAAATAGAACTCCCCATAAGAAGTGCACTGGGAATATGAGACCCGGTCAGCTTGACTGGAAAACCCCATGCTCTTCCTGCTCCCTCCGGCTGCCTCTGCTGGGCTTGGCATGGGCGCCCGCGTGGGCAAGCACCTCTGTGGGAGCTCAGAACAGAGAGCAGTTAATTCTGCCCCAGGGAACTGGACGGAGGTTCACCAAGGGCGTGATATTCGATCTGGGCCCTGAAGGCTGGAGACGGCGTTGTGAGGGGGGCGGGGAGGGGGAGGGGGGCACGGGAGCTGAGGGAACAGCGCGTACCCTGGCGAGGCTGGACTGCATGGGTGCCTATGTGTGCCGGTGGTGGAGGAACCCGTGGGATTGAGACTGGCAAGTTGGGCCAGGGCCACTCGGAAGGTCTTTGATTGAATGCCAGCTGGGGTCTTCTACAATCCACCGAGAAGGACAGGTGCCCCAGTGCAGATCTTGGTTTCAAAAGGACCTCTGCAGGGAGGAGGGTCTGGGTTTGGGGACGAGCTGAAGCCAGGAGGACAGGGTGAAAGGTCATTGCAATCGTTCAGGCAAGGAAGGGTGACCTGATGGAGGACAAAGACAAAGGGAGTCGAGGGACAGAGTAATGTTTGAGAACTGTTTTTGAGAACGTGGTGACCACACTGGATGTGGGAGATGGGAAGAGTCAGGAGGCAAAATGACAGAATGAACAGGGAGGAGTGTGTGTAAGGTAGGGAGTCGAAGACAGGGCTTGGTGGGCGTGGTGGGAGCGGGGTGGTGGTGTGTTCAAGGTTGACCTTCAGTTGGAAGCCTCTAGAAGGTACCCGGGGAGAGATGTTCTCAGGGAAGGTGGGATGTGGTTGAGAGCTCGAGAGAAAGCCAGGACTTGAGAGTTGTGTCTCCTTAGCGCATGGGGACCATGAAAGACTCCCTGGTATATTTTCCTAGACTTCCCAGGAGGAGCACGCAGGGCAAACGAAGAGAGAACAATGACGCCCTGGGCCGCGCCAAACGTTAGGGGCACGTGGACAAAGAGAGACTGGTGAAGGAAGGGAGAGGGCTGAGGGCACAGCTGGCATTTCCAGGGCATCATTGATTCTTCTCGACAATCTGGGAAGGTCAAAATTGTCTTCGTCACTGTGCTGAGACTCAGAGCAAATGACCTTGTCTGAGGAGCCCTGCTGGCGTAGTGGGCTACGAGGCGCAAGGCCAGCCACAGGTCAGCAGTTCAAATCTTCCAGCTGCTCTCTGGCCCCGTAAAGATTTATAGCCTCCGGAACCCACGGTGCTACTCTGTCCCTGTAGGGCTGCTTTGAGAAGTAGTAATAGTAGTGGGTCAGTGTTTAAACCTAGTTCCAAGTCTCAAGCCAGTGATTTTTCCACTCTGCGATGCTGCCACCTGGAGAAGCTTGGGAAAAACCATGAAGAAAGGGTGGAGAATTAAGAACAGAGTCCAAGTACGCCAAGGGAGGACAGAGTATCGATTCGGGGCTATCAACAAAATCAAATGTCTTGAAGGGTGTCAAGTTGGATCAGGGCTGCAACAACAACAACAATCTTTGGTTTTCCCACTGTCCATGTGGCCTTTAAGGGACAGTGCGGAGGTGGGAGTGGGAAGGGGGGCAGTGGAGCCTGAAGAGCCTTCCTTCTCAATATGTCAGGTCTGTCCCACAAACCCATCCGTGCAAGTGCTATGTTAACCTGTTCTGGTAACCTGTGCTCACAGTAGCCTCTCAGCGGGCTTCTCAGATGCCAAGCATCCCTGCCCACCCCAGCCCACCCCATCCATTCTGCAATCATATTGATGAACCTTATTAAGGCAGGAGCCACCTACCACCATCACGGCAGGATGTTGGAGGCGGAGGCAGTGATGAGCTCCCTCCGTCTCAGCCCTACTTTGTCCACTGAAACTGGACATACAGAAAATATGTTGAATGCAAAGGACACCTACTGTGTCCCAATTCTGGGTCCCTGTGATATGGAGTGAAGCATCCACCCTCCCTAAGCATGGGTTCGTCTGTACAACGAGGGAGTTGCTAAGGGTCCTTCCAGCTCTGGAGGCCGAGTACACCAAGAAACCCAGTGTCCTAAATAGTCTCCAGGGCTTCTCGCCCAGAGCACTTTCATTAGCTTGTTATTCTGTCGTGGGTGCTTTGTTCTGTAAATAAGCTTTGATCCTGTAAACACAACTTGCCATTATCTCTTCCCACACACATTCACACACACACACACACACACACACACACACACACACACACACACTTCCGTCCTTTTGACTGGCATCTCTCAGCCCCAGACATTTACCAGCAGGATGACTTTTCCCCTTTCCGCCAGGTGATCATGGTGACCGGGGATCACCCTATCACCGCCAAGGCCATTGCCAAAGGAGTGGGCATCATATCAGAGGGCAACGAGACTGTGGAGGACATCGCAGCCCGGCTCAACATCCCTGTGAGTCAAGTCAACCCCAGGTGAGGCCTTGGTGGGAGCCTGCTGCCCCGTGATCAGTCCCTGCTTCCTGAGAGACGACATTGGCGACCATCTCTGGAGCCATGGTCAGCCCGATCTCTGACCCCTAGTCCTGCGTTGGTTCTAGGCTGTGCTGATGGTTGGTCATGTAACCTTGGAAACACCACTTTACCTCGCTCAGCCTCCATGTGCTTGTTTGTTTGTTGTTTATTAACCAGAAAATCAGAACAACATCTCTGTGGTAGGGTTGCGATAGAAGTAAGGTACGTCTGAAGCAACTAGCCCAGTGCCCAGCCAACTACACTCATGGCTGAGATGATGCCGCACACGGAGATTTAATGTCCCTTCTCCAAGAAATGCAGAAGCAGGACCCTGAGCAGCCAGGGAAAGAAAGGAGGATGGAATCGATCCGGACACCCCAACCCAGCAGGGAGCCAGCAACACAGGGTGGCATGGGGGCAGCAGGGCCAGTCCGGGCACCAGGGCCACAGTTCCTCCTGCCCTTTCCCTACAGAGAGGCCAAGGCGTGCGTGGTGCACGGCTCAGACCTGAAGGACATGACTTCGGAGGAGCTGGACGACCTCCTGAAGAACCACACGGAGATCGTGTTTGCCCGGACGTCCCCGCAGCAGAAGCTGATCATCGTGGAGGGCTGCCAGAGGCAGGTGAGGAGGCGCAGGACTCTGGGGAAACTGGCAGAAACCCCGTGCCACGGCCCGGCCCTCAGCCGAGCACACGAACGCGTGGGCTCGCTCAGAAAAGACCAGAGCTGGTCTGTGGGCTTCCATCTGAGGGCTCCCGAGACTTTTCTCTCAGGCTGAGGAGGAGGAGGGAGCAAGGCCCCTAGAGCAGGCCTGTGATGCTAAAACCAGGCGGTCTGGTGCGCACGACCTCACGAGCTCTGTCCGGGCTTCCCCAGGGCGCCATCGTGGCGGTGACGGGTGACGGGGTGAACGACTCCCCCGCACTGAAGAAGGCCGACATTGGCATTGCCATGGGCATCGCCGGCTCGGACGTCTCCAAGCAGGCGGCCGACATGATCCTGCTGGACGACAACTTCGCCTCCATCGTCACGGGCGTGGAGGAGGGTGAGGGGGCCAAACGTCGGGGAGGTCCCCTGCATGGCTGAACCCCAGCACAACTGCTTCCCTTCCTTTGTGCCACAAAGAGAGAGTTAAGGATGGATCAGACACCCACAGCAGTTTGAGAAACAACAGCTGTCAAGTTGATTCCCACCCACGGGGACCTCATGGGTGTCAGGGTAGACCCAAACTCCACGGGGTTGGTAATAGCTTATTTTCTAAGGCCGATCAATCACCAGGCCTTTCTTCTGAGGTGCCTCTAGATGGGTTTGACCCTCCAACGCTTTGGTGGTGAGCAGACAAGCGTATTAACTGTTTGTACCACGCAGGGACGCCACCATCATTACAATGTTATTACAACCACTCACTGTCATCTTTTTCCTATGGGCTGGCTGGTGGTTTCAAACTGCTGACCTTATGGCTAGGAGCCCAATGTATAACCCCTACGCCACCAGAGCTAGCCTCCTTCAAACATAAAAGCTTCTCTTCTTGGGAAAGTGAGCAGCCACGTTGCAGGGGCTCAGGGTGGGGAAGGTCCCGCTAAGGCCCTGATGTCCTTGGAACCTCTCCCCCAGGCCGCCTGATCTTCGACAACCTGAAGAAATCCATCGCCTACACCCTGACCAGCAACATCCCAGAGATCACGCCCTTCCTGCTCTTCATCATCGCCAACATCCCCCTCCCTTTGGGCACCGTGACCATCCTCTGCATTGACCTGGGCACCGACATGGTGAGGGCATGGGCTGGGCAGGCACGGCAGGCAAATGCTTGGGTGCAGCGGGCGGGCATGGGAGGAGACCTGCCTCAGGGGGCTGAGTGGGCTGAGAGGAAGGGAAGACAGGCCCGGAAGCTAAAAGGGTGATGTTGATTGAATTTGTGTCAAAGAATCCGCACTGATTTTCCTTCAAATGTCCCCCTTCTCCCCTGCCCCACAGGTCCCTGCCATCTCCTTGGCCTATGAGGCCGCTGAGAGCGACATCATGAAGCGCCAACCCAGAAACCCGCAGACAGACAAGCTGGTGAACGAGCGGCTCATCAGCATGGCCTACGGACAGATCGGTGAGGCGGGGCCCTGCGCAGACGGGGAGTCCCCAGAGGGCTCTTCTCCCCGCCTCCAGAGGGATGAGTTCCAGGCAAGGGTCAGCTCCCCAAGGCTCAGGGAGTTCTCTCTGGCACGCAGGGGCTGGCCCTGTCCTGCTTCCTTCTCTGACCCAGGCCCTGCCTCTTGCCCACCACCCGCAGGGATGATCCAGGCCCTGGGCGGCTTCTTCACCTACTTTGTGATTCTGGCCGAGAATGGTTTCCTGCCGTCACGGCTGCTGGGGATCCGTCTGGACTGGGATGACCGCTCCAGGAATGACCTGGAGGACAGCTATGGACAGGAGTGGGTAAGTGGAGCCAACCGGGTGTGAGCTGGCCCTTGCTGTGTGTGCACCTGGCAGGAGCAGCCTGGCGGAGCCAGATAGACTGAGTACTGTGGGTGGAATTCGTGCCCAGGGTTTGAAACACTGCCTTTGAGACATGCGCCACGCGGGTCCTGCCCTTTCCTCTGTCACTGATGCCCCACCTCTCCTGCCCTGCCCCCAGACCTACGAGCAGCGGAAGGTGGTGGAGTTCACGTGCCACACGGCCTTCTTCGCCAGCATCGTGGTGGTGCAGTGGGCTGACCTCATCATCTGCAAGACACGCCGCAACTCCGTCTTCCAGCAGGGCATGAAGTGAGCATCCCGGCCACGCTGGGCACCTGCCTGCAGGGGCAGACAAGGCTCTGGGTGCACTCACTAATCTCTGGGGCCCCGGATGCACCTGCGTGAGGCAGCGGGGGGAGGAAAGGGAGCCTGATTTTAATTACCCAGCTACATATCTGAGTTCAGTTCCCGGCCAATGTACCCCAAGTGCAGCCACTGGCCATCTGTCAGTCGTGGTGGCTTGTTGCTGTGGCTGAGAGGTTTCCACCGGGTTCCCAGCCTCGGATGGCTAGGAAGAAAGGCCTGGTGATCTACTTCTGAAAAGCAACACACGGAAAGCCTGTGGGTCACCATGGTCCAAATAGCAACTGCCGGGAGGGTACCGAACAGGGCAGTATTTCATTCTGTTGTGCACGGGATTGCCACCAACGGAGGACAGCAGCTACCAACAACACACAATAACAGTTCCTTCCACGTTCCCCCCTTTCCCTCTTCTCTCCGGGCCCCTTTTCTTCCTTCTCTCCCCATCTCGGACTCTAGTGTCACCAGGCCCCACCCATTGCCCCAGGTCTCTGTGCTCACTGCAGTCAGTGTTTCCCTGGAGGGTGCATATGCTGGAACAATCCCTGGGGGGCAGCAGGGGGCGGGGATTGCAAAAGCTCATACCTACGCTTTATCCTGTAGTACAGAAGGTTTTCATTGCCAATAGGGCACTGAGTGATTTTTTCTTTTTCTTTTTTTTTTCCTGAAGAGGAGGAGGCAGGTCAAATAAGCTTGGGGACGTATGCGGTACGTCACACTGGCCCTGGGGTGGTGCAGCTGGCTGCTCGGGGGCTGGGAGTTGCTCAGGGTGAAGACAGTAGATTTTTACAGAGGACGTTACCGTGTGTCGTAGCCACATGGCTTCACCTCACAGTCTCTCTAGCATGTCCTTGTTGTCAGGTGCCATCAAGTGGGGCTCTTACCGGCCCCATGCACAACAGAACGAAACCCTGCCTGGCCCTGCGCCGGTCTCCCAATTGCTCCGTGTGAGCCATGGTTGCCGTCCCTGTGTCTGTCCACCCACTTCATCCAGGCGTCCTCTTTTCCGCCGACCTTCTGCTTTACCAAGCACAATGCCCTTTTCCAGGGCTGTTACTATTTTCATTTCGTGGATAAGAGGCCCACAGAGGCTACAGGACATGCCTGAGGTCACTCAGCTGGTAAACGTCTGTCTCCAAAGCCTGAAGCCTTGGCGGCTTGCCCACCACAGAGCCTGGCACCTGCTAGGTAATTCAGGACCGGAGCAGGAATGGGGGTTGGATGCTGAAGATATCGACATCATCCTTGTTCTTTTTATTTTCTTCTGTGGTAAGCCATTGTGAATTTTCTCACAACGTCGTTGTTAGGAAACAAACAACAGCCAAAAAAGCCAAGCTGACTCCCTGCCATCCAGTCAATGCTAACAGTGACCCTGCGGGACAAAGCAGGAGAACCCCCGGAGTTTCTGAGACTCATCTTTCTCCCTCGGAGTACCTGGTGGTTTCGAACTGCCAAGCTCTCGGATCCCATCCCACAGTGTAACCACTTCACCACCAGGGCTCCTTACTCGTTAGGAAAAGAAGGGGGAAGTTTGCCAAAACCTTGGTGAAGTTAATAGCATTGAAGAGCCTGGAGGGGAAAGTCTCCGTTGTTACAGAAAATTAGCACGAAGCAGATTCCAGTTAGATAAGAATAGTAAAAGGGAAAGTGCAGTGAGAAGCAAAATTTTAAAAAGCTGAGTCCACGGAAATGAGGCGCAGTGCTGGGGTGCAGGGCTTACTGTGAGCCACATGAGCGGGGTCGTGCCAGACTGGTTAAGCCCAGCTACAGAGATGGGAACAGGAACGAGGCAGAATGAAAGTCGGCCCAGAGAAGGGAGCCCTGGTCCTCGGCCCTCACCTGGCAGGCCAGCCCGTGTGCCGGGGTGCTCGGAGATGCTCCTGCCTCATTCCAGAAAGTTGTATGGAAACAAAGCCTTTGCCGATGAGCAGGCTCCAGGGCTTATAAAACCGTCAAGATTCTTAGATAGCAGCAAGAACCTATCCGGAGGCAGGGAGATCGCTCCCTAACTCACAATTCTGTTTTTGGATATGTGTTTCAAACGAACTTTAAGTGGGGAACTAGATTCATTGCTTGTTTTAAAATGTGGCCTTTATAGACAAAAAAAATAACCGGCATCCTTAGTGAGTGAAAGGAGCCCTGGGGGCGCTGTCTGGCCAGGGTGGGGCCGTTAACCACAAGGCTGGCAGTTCAATCCCACCAGCCTCTTCATGGGAGAGCAAGGAGGCTAACTGTTCCCATAAAGATTTACAGCCTTGGAAACCCCATCAGTTGGAACTGACATGATGGCAGTGGGTTTGATTTGGTTGGGCTAGTGAATGGAAAGTTTGGGACCCACAGAGTCGAGTCATAAACAGAGGCGATATACACACACATAAGGTGATCAAGTATTTCCCAAGGTCAAGTGCTTTCCACGGTAAGCTCCTGTAATTCTCCCTGCAGCCCTGTGAGAACAAGGTTTCAATCTTCATTTTAAAGAGAACAGGTGTGAGGCTCTGAGAGGGAAAGAAAGAAATATTTCTTAAAGCCAAGAGGTGGTCTTGGCTAAGTGGCAGGGTAACCCAAAGCTGTTAAGACCCCACCTGAGTCCAGAAATGGTCCTCATAGCCGTATTCTGTGCTGCTTTTCAATTCTGATATGTTGTGCTTGGAGCCCTGGTGTCAACATGTTCAGGTGTTGGGCTGCAATCGCAAGGTCGACACTTTGAAACCATCAGCAGCTCCTTGGGAGAAAGCCAGGGCTTTCTACTCCTGAAGAGTTATAGTCTCAGAAAGAAACCCACAGGGGCAGTTTACCCTGCCATAAAGGGTTGCTATGAGTTGGCATCAACTCAGTGGTGGGGAAGGTGGTTGTTGTTGTTTGAATGTTGTGGTTGGTTCCTATTGAGTTGATGTCAACTCATGGTGAGCAGAGAACTGTGCCCCACAGGTTTTCCACGGCTGGGGCCTTCTGGGAACAGATCACCCAGCCTGTCCTCTGAAGCACTTTTGGGTGGGTTCAAACCACCAACCTTCCAGCTCGCGGGGGAGGACTGACCCTTCTGTGCCACCCAGGGATCCCATTCTGATGTCGTGCACATGTCTTAAGCCTGTCCTGTGCAGCGAACAAGCGTTCTCTTCTTTACTGAGTAGACACCGTGAAAGAGGCCATGGGAGTCACTGGACCAGTGGAAGACACACCTGCCCTGCCCTGAGGATGCTTTCAAGCATCCTCTCAGAGAGTGTGCATACCATACGTTTGCACACCACATGCCTGGAGCCACAGCAAGATTGTGAGCTGCTCGAGGGCAGGCTCGGTGTGGGCAGACCAGAGCGCCGTGCATCTCCAGCTCAGAGTACAACACTCAACACCTAAGGACATTTTTTCGATCAAAAGGCACATGTGTTATAGACAACACTTGAGCAGGGTGGTAAAATCTGTAAGCAGAAAGAGAAAGTCTGTCTCCGGTGACGTGTGCATGAGAAGAGGATGTGTGACAAGGATGTGGGAAGAGATCCTGGATGAACCTTCCTTGGCTTCTCTTCCCCTCCCAGGGGTCGGCCCTGGGTCACTCCTCCCCTCCCCCACCTCTGCCTCCGAGGTGGAAACCGACAGTCCTTGTCAGTTCTGACTCTTGGCAAGTCCTTGTCAGTTCTGACTCTTGGCAATCCCTCGTGTGCTCCCTAGGGGTTTCCAGAAGTGGGGCTGCCAGGAGTCCGTTGCCAGGCCTTTCTTCCATGGTGCCACGGTGGCTCTGGGTGGGCTTGAAACACTGAACTCTGCACACAGGATGCTACTCCTTCCTCTCCTTGCCTTTCCAGGAACAAGATCCTGATATTTGGGCTCCTGGAGGAGACCGCGCTGGCTGCCTTTCTGTCTTACTGCCCAGGCATGGGGGTTGCCCTCCGCATGTACCCGCTCAAGTGAGTGTCGCTCTGCAGAGGGGGCCCGACGGAGCACTGGGCATGTGATCCCTTTTCTAGGGTCCCGCCCCGCCCCGTTCTTTTGAATTCTACCCCATGATGACACTCCCCTCCCCTGTCTCCTTCAGGGTCACTTGGTGGTTCTGTGCCTTCCCCTACAGTCTCCTCATCTTCATCTACGATGAAGTCCGGAAGCTCATCCTACGGCGATATCCTGGTGGTAAGCGCTTCGGCATCCACCCCGAGCCCCGAGCCCGCGCCCTCTGACAGCCATCCCTTCCAGGCTCCAGAGCCAAACACCCCTCCCGGTGCTAATCTTTGCGCCTGGCCTTCCTGCCCCTTTCCACTCAAACGCCAAGTGCCCCTCACTCACAGTGGCCCTCCAAAGACCTCTGCCTTCCACCTCAGAAGGACAGGACATCAGGGTGAGAAGTCCCCCGGAGGTCACCTCGCCCAAGCCCACACTTCCAGACAAAGAGGCTCCGGTGAGGTTCTCCGCCCAGTGAAGAAAAGAACGGAGACCAGAACCCAAGTCTCCTGGTTCCCAGTCGGCAACCAACATGTGTTTGGCTGGATTGGGTTTCCACAGGCTTTTTTTAAACATCACGTATGAATAGTTGGAGACAGGTGGCCTCTCCTCCAAACACAGGACATAGATATCATTTGGCTTGGCCTGCACAATAGTTGGGGGACCGCCTCCCAATTGGCCCAGCACTTAAAGCTGGGGAGCGATCACATAAAGTCTGAATTTCTGACTACTCAAAAGAGCTGTCAAATCCCATGCCACACTTTCCTGCAGAGCAACAATGCATAGGCATTAGTCCCTGTAGACATGTATTTGCTACCTGATAGCCCTCCCCCCCTTACTAGTCTAAGCTATGCCCCATTCCCTGTGAGAAATACCGTGTCTCCCCTAAGTGCAGGGCTGCCCTTTTTCCTGCTAATCGATATGGCCCCAGGTCCTGGCGCTCATTCCCTCTCCTTCTTACCTTCCTAAAGCTGCTTCATGCACCCCCCTGCATGGGCTTCTTGTTCCACAGTCACCCCTAGGACCGTTGTCTCGCCCCTCCTTCTAAACTCCCCTCCCCCATCTCTCCACAGGCTGGGTGGAGAAGGAGACGTACTACTGAGCCCATCGGAAGGAGAACCAAGCATGGGGAAGGCGGGGTGCCCTGGAGGGGTTGCAGGAATGGTGATGGGGGGGATGGGCGAGACCAGGCACTATTGATGGGAAGGATTTGGGGAGAGAGAAAGCAGGAACTCAGCCGGCAGGTTGCGGGGGAGTGGGATGATTGCCCCATAGGTCCAATTATCAACAGTCAGATTAGACACTACATGTTAGGATCCCCAGCCTAGACCCTGCCCACCCATCCCCATGGTGTTATGAAATTGAGGATCACTCCAGCCCTTCCGGTTCCTTATCCCTTCACCCCTACCTCCTACTAGAACAAATGGGCATCCAAAGGCCAGGCCCCGTGGACACCAGCAGAAGGGAAGCCCTCTGAGATCCCTCTCTCTCCAGCCACACTCCACCTCCCACTTCCACCCCTTGTGTGCTTCCTGCCCAACTCGGTCCTCGAACTGCTTTCCCCAGAGACCTTGACACCACAAAGGGTCCCTCCTGGTGAGTGCCCGAGACTAGAAAGGGGGGCTCCTGGGAGAGGCCAGGTGAGTCCTCCAGTCAAGAGAAGAGAGCTCTCTAAGAGGGATAGCTGCCTGTGTCCTTCCCTGGCGCTGCCCCACCAGCCCGGGAAAAGAGTTCCTGGCTATTGGTTGGAATTGGTGTGGGAAAATTTCCAGAACCTTCTGGCATTCCAGGGACGTGCAGAATCAGCTTAAGCCATAAACGTGGTCAAAATCTGGGGGCAACAAGTCGGGAGACATTGTGAGGAGACTTGCCCTTGACCTCTCAGATGGCAGGGCTGTTTCTCCCAGACGAATTCCCATCGGGACACTGGGTGCAGGTGCGCTGGAATGGGGAGTTGGGGGTATGTCTCTCCAAGGGACGCTGGTCCTTGCCTTGCCCCTTCTACACCTGGCCCTTTTGCCCCACAGGCAGCTCTGCCCTTTCATTCGCTAGGCCTTGCCTCAAAGGCACTGGGAATGTCCGGTAGAGGCCCAGCTGTGCATGCAAGTGAGAAGGGGAGGCCCACGGAAAGTGCCAGACCTCAGGCAGAAGGGAAGGAAGCAGGAAAGACAAACACGAGGTCGGCCCATCTGTAGAGCCCCCAGAGCAATGATTGTATCGCACTGGGATCTTACTTTAGCAGATGCTCCTTGAAAGAAGTGAGTCATTGCCAAGGGCTTGGAAATTTTCATGGGAAGCCGTACTGATTTGGACCCAATTAATTTGATATCGTGGACCGGACAGCGTTTATCTTTCTCCTTACAGTCCATGAAAAGGACCTTTGTTCAGCCAATTAAAGACCTAACCCATATTGCTAGGGGTGGCATCCTTAGTCAACCTAAAACAAATCCTCTCCGGGCACCTTAGGGATATCCATTTAGAAGTAGAAAACGCAAGAGCTAATCGTCGTCCGTCTTTATGTATTTGGTAAAGAAGCAGCTACAGGACTTTTACGCGGTGATGTTTTGTAAGACATTAGTTTGGGGCACAGCGTATGTACTTGAACATAATAAAGTTGCAATTCTTTATGGACAAAAGAAATCCCTCACGTCATTCAGCCGTCCGGAAGTCTAGAACGCCTATCCCTCGCCCTGGTTGTGCTGTGTTAAAACGGGTGCTGCGGCAGGTCGTGGCTTCTAGAAGTCAGTCCTTGGAGCAGCACACAGAGGGCAGGTGGGAGGGTCAGCAGGGGTGGGTGATGTTGGTGGAGAAACAGAGCGTGAAGCTAGGTGGCAACAGTGACCTCGAAGTAAAAATACTAGAGGGTTTCTTCCTCACAGCTGAGCCCATGAGGCTCTAATAGAGAGAAGGTTTGGTTCAGGACAAGCAGGGGCCTGTGAGTCTCTCTGTGGGGACATCTTCAGGGTCGGTTCTACTTTCCGGACACAATCAGACCACCAGCAAGCTGAGAGGACAGGGAAGATGAGGCTGGGTGGGACAAGAGGCCGTGACCGCCAAGACCGAGAGTCCATACTGCAGGACGAGCCCTGCCAACCAGCAGTGCTGTGCTGCTCGGTGGCTGCGGGGCACAGGGTAGGAAGGCAAGGCGGTCCTTGAGCTTTACCTCCATCGAGGGAGTCCCCAGACGGGACAACGAGTTACGGGCTCAATGACGGGCTGAAATCTGGTGGTCGGTCGAACCCACCTCAGAATACAGGCCCCAGCGATCTGCTCCCTAAAAGCCATAGTTTGAAAACCCAATGAAATACTTTTTCTCTCCACTCATGGGATCGCCACGAGTTCAAATAGACTTCATGGCAACTCTAACGGTGACTTTGACAGCATCCTGGATGGTGTGTGATGTGCAATAGGGAGAAGGATGTGTGTGTGTTTGGGATGGGGGGGATTCAGGGGTGGCTGTACCTCTTCCAGGGGTCTCCGAGAATGGGAGAGAGGAAGACACCCACTCTTAACCCTGTGTAAGGATCTTGGAGTGTCCGTCAGAAGCTAGCGTGTGCCTAAGCCACATCTTGATCACTTCATTACAATTCTTAGCGTGTGTGTGTGTGTGTGTGTGTGTGTGTGTGTGTGTGTGTGTCTCAAGGGGTGGTAGGAGTGTTACCTGCAGCAGCATCAGTACTGAGTGGTCACGTGGTGCCGTGACTATGTTAAACGGGCTGCATTCTTGGTTTCTGTGTGCTGCAAGTCAACACAGACCCCAAGCAACCCTTGGGGCAGAGTAGAAGTGTCCTTCCCACAGGGCTTCCTAGACCGTGGTCTTCATGGGAGCAGATCGGCAGATCTTTCTTCCCGGGAAGCTGCTGGGTGGGTTTGACCAATCCAACTGTCAGACTCAGGAGGGCTTACCCACTGGGCCCCCAGGGATCCTATAGTGTGATCTCCGTCATCCCACCTCAGGGCCCTCAGTCCCCTGCCTGGCTTCCTCGTGTCATTTCAAGCTCTCTCCTGAAACGATAACGCCTCAGAAAGGCCTTCCCAGAACACCCCAATAAAACAACATCCTGGTATCTCTGCCCCCCGTTGTCTTTGTTTTTATTGATCAATACTTGTTATTATCTGAAATTCTGTGTGTGTGTGAGAGAGAGAGAGAGCCATCCATGGAATACCTGACCTGCGTGGTGCAGTGAACGAATGCTCTCAGCCAGCTGTGAACCAAGAGGTGGAGACTGGAATCCATGCAGGGGGGCCTTGGAAGAAGCCTGGCCATCGGTTTCTGAAAGTCAGCCATTGCCATCTCTGCGGAGCTCAGCTCTGCTCCGATAGCCGTGGCCTGCAGCCCCCTCAGCGCCTAACTGGTGGTGGTGGCTGGCACACACATTGAAAACGGCTTTGCACGTCAGGCGCCCTCCTCCTCCACCAGAGTAAGTTCCATGAAGAGCCTCCAGTTTGAAGGGCTCTTCCCATGAAGGGCTTTTATTCACCATGATTCTCCTCGGCACCTAAGAGCAATGCCTGAGACACAGCAGGTAACACGTAAACATTTGTTGAATGGAAGCATCCTTGTCACAAAGGCCTTCTGTTTTCATCTCCAACTAACAGATGACAAGAGGGAGGCACTCGATGCTCTCCTTAGGTCTGCAAAGTTTCAAAGGTCGTAACTATCAGCAGCAGGATTCACACCTAGCTCAGCCTGGCTCCAACCAGCCCTCTTCACCACCTGCTCTGTTCGTCTGTAAGTGGCTGGAGCAGAAAACACTGTGGGCAAGGGAAAGCCAGCCAGTCCAGCGGCTCAGGGAACGGAGAGGCTGTACAGCAGACATCTCAGCAGAAGAGGCTGAGCAGACCGGTGGGACTAGGACCAGGAAGAGCAGGAGAGCTGGAAGCCGCAGAGAAAAGGTTGAGAACAAAAAGGTAGGAAGAGGTTCGAGAATTGGCTAGAGGATCCTAACCAAAAAAGGGATAGGACCTTAGCACTGGATGAAATAAAAGTTCAACGTTAATGCCAGCCTCTGACGCAGACAGAAATGCATCTGGGGCGTTTTCCTTCGCAGTCACAGGACAGGAAATTTGGTGATCCATCAAAGAGAGATGACAAACTAAAGATATGTCATACTAAGACTGTGGCCTGAAATAGAAACAAAAATAGTTAGATCAATATCAAAGGAAGACATTTAATCCAGAATGAGCCTTTCAAAAAAAGTCCTTGACCGGAGTGAATTCGGTGGAGAATTTTTCTCAGATCCTCAAAGAACATTACTGACGTGAGCCTCTATAAGAATGCTGTACGCTGCCCAGCCTATTTGAGGAGATACATGAGTATCAATTTGAATAGTGAAGCTATATAATTAATTAACTGATTAGACTCTAATAGTGGAACACCAAGACCGTATATAACAAAGCAAATTAGCAGGAGACACACAAAGGATTACTGGGGAAGCCATTCCATAGACACTGAGAAAGCAATCAGAAAGATTCAAAATCCATTCCTGATTCAAATATAGGAAAATGCAGTCACGTTCCGAGAACAGAGGAAAGGAAGTAATCATTGTAGAAAACTAATAATAGCAAACTGTAACAAAAACAATACCAATGAAAATTGAAATCTTAGGTGGGAAGTTTATATTTTTTAAAAACTAAGTTAAAAAAAGAAATAAATAAAAAGACCAACTGGAAGTAAAACTTTTTTTAACTAGAGGATATGACTAAGTACCTAAGAATTCCAAGGAAGTCAACCAAAAAAAAAATAATAATAATAATAATAGAAAAAAGCTATACAAATTCCTGGAGGCAACAATTTAAAATTGCAGGATAACAAAATATCATACAACTGTAGTCTTAAATATTAGTGAGACAGAAAACACGACACAAAGAGTTTCTATTTGCAAATAGAAATAAAACAAATTACACTTAAGATTCAATGTGTAACATTTTCTTTAAAGAAAACAGGGGTGGGGGGAAGTACAATGAAAAGAATAAGGCCCCAGAAGAATTTATTTCAGAGGACAGAACTGATTCTGCAGCTCCAGGAGAGGGACATGTCTGCTCAGAGCACACTGGAGCAAATGAAGGGGGAGGAGGAGAGAGTGGAGCACATCCTGGCCCACCAGGCCTTAAGGACTATGTTCCCGATTAGAGCAGCCAATCCACAGAGAGAACCACATGGCCGGCCCCACTATGAGACATGA